GGCTTAATTGCTGGCCTTGCATTGTTCCTAGTTCAAATGAACTTGCTTTGACAAGCACGTGTTTTATGGAGAATGACCTTTCTGTACTCCCCTAAACGAAGAGTTAGCGTTTGCATGTGAGACCTCTTAGAAGAGGCCTTAGAAGTTTCTTCTAAGGTGGTGTTTCTGACCTAGGCTTCTCCAGCAGCACGAAGCCGAGTCCTTGTCCCTACAAAATCCCCTTTTATTTAATGTACAGTGGATTCCTCTCCAGCAAAGTCTTTCAAGATAGTTCACAATTACCGACCTTTATCAGGCTTGGAGAGTGGCCAGACCGATATCTTTCAGATGCTGCAACACTTGGCAGGAACGAACTAATATTTAGCTTCTCTTTTATTCCCTATCGGAGGGGCCATCCATCGTCCACCTGTGGCCTTACCCCCAAGTCGACCCTTGTTCTTTAGCTGTTCCCTTTGTTTGGCAACTCTGCGCATGCACACACTGGGAACAGGCTCCAGCTGTTCGTCTGCCCCACTGATGTCTGATTCCGAAGGCAGCTGATAACTGGCATACGGCCCCAGCCCCCTCTCTGCCTCCGATGCAGAGCCCTCATCAGACTCCAGGACTGGCCCATGTTCCTCCCCAACCTCCTCACTGTCCGAATCTGCTGCCATCAACGTTGAATTCCCAACGTTGGTCTAATGGTGCTTGAGCTTAGAAATGGCCATGGGTTGGGTTGGGTTGGGTTGGGTTGACTGCTAGGATGGGTTTGGACTATTCTCCAATGGTTTGGAAAGTGAACGTAACTCCAGGCTAGAGTTAAATGAAGAACAGAAGGCTTAGGAAAGCTAAAAAGGTGTTGTTGTTTTTTTTAATATTTCAAAAGTTCAGAAGATGGGAAAAGATGACTTCTCTAGTACTCCAAATTCTGGCTGAAACCTTAGAAGGACCTTCTTAACAACCTGCTCTTCAAAACCTGCACTTTCTTCCTCCACAACAGCAGCTTCTGATTCCCTACCTTACTCTAAAAGTTCTTGAGAACTTCCAGCTTCTCTCTGGGTGATGTTTTTGAGCTGTCTTTGTTGTTGGATGCGTAGGAAGTCCTGCTGTTTGTGACGGTGGTTTTCTAGGACACATTTTTTCCCCCCATCCTTCCGGGCTAACCGACACTTTCCAGTCTGAACATCTTTCTTCCCCCAGAAGACGTTCCCTTCTTGATGGGAAGCCAAGATGGGAAGCCAAGATGGTCACTAATCTTGGAAGACCGGTTAATGACCTTCATGGACACCCCTTCACCCCCTGACTTATCGATCAAAGCAAGGACACCATAATCCACCCCCGATAACTTCTCCAATTTTTCCTCCTGACAAAAGAACTTGAGAACACCTGGTGAGTAGAGTAGAGTAGAGTAGAGTAGAGTAGAGTAGAATAGAATGCACCACCGCTATTTCCAAATGCTTCCCCATGAGAAAATCCACAATTGGGGGGGGGGGGAACAGGAGATTGAAGGTGGGATCCCCCATCTGCAGCCCAATTTATATAAGTCTATGCCATGTGTGTAATCTCTGCCTTGTGTTAGACTTAAAACTTGCCCACTTCACAATTTAGGACCTCTCTGGAACTCTACCATTCAACGCAGATCTTTTAAGAATTGTGTCCTGGGTCACGTTGGGAGAAATCATCCCGAGAGACTTTTGAGAAAATCCGAGAGGGTACAGTGAGGGAATCCTTGCGTGGTCTCATTGGCCAATTAATACCCGTACTAGGAAGTCACCTGTAAGCAGTCACATAGGATCAAAAGAGGAACAGGATCAGAGGTGGGTTTCAGCAGGTTCTGACCAGTTCTGGAGAACAGGTAGCGGAAATTTTGAGTAGTTTGAAGAACCGGTAAATGCCACCTCTGACTGGCCCCGCCCCCATCTATTCTCTGCCTCCCGAGTCCCAGCTGATCAGGAGAGAATGGAGATTTTACAGTAACCTTCCCCTGGAGTGGGGAGGAAATGGAAATTTTATAGTATCCTTCCCCCTGGAGTGGGGAGGGAATGGAGATTTTACAGTATCCTTCCCCTGGAGTAGGGTGGGAATGGAGATTTTTACAGTATCCTTCCCTTGGAGTGGGGTGGGAATGGAGATTTTACAGTATCCTTCCCCTGGAGTGGGGTGGGAATGGAGATTTTACAGTATCCTTCCCCTGGAGTGGGGAGGAAATGGAGATTTTACAGTATCCTTCCCCTGGAGCGGGGAGGGAATGGAGATTTTACAGTATCCTTCCCCTGGAGCGGGGAGGGAATGGAGATTTTTACAGTATCCTTCCCCTGGAGTGGGGTGGGAATGGAGATGTTACAGTATCCTTCCCCTGGAGTGGCGTGGGAATGGAGATTTTACGGTATCCTTCCCCTGGAGTGAGGTGGGAATGGAGATTTTACAGTATCCTTCCCCTGGAGTATGGTAGGAATCGAGATTTTACAGTATCCTTCCCCTGCCACGCCTACAGAACCGGTAGTAAAAAAAAAATTGAATCCCACCACTGAACAGGATGTCATCTGAATTTGCATCACCCCAAAGATTTAAAAATAAACCTCTGCTTTGCATATTTAGATAATCAGGGTAGGTGTCGGACTCAATCACCAAAAGAAACACAAAAAACAAAACTCGAACAGAAGCCGGAGAAATATTAGCATGATAAACCTTTATTAGCAAACTGTTCCCTACCATCAAAGACTTCTGGATTTTTTTTTCTCTCAAACGTCTGCTCTTCGTAAACCCGGGTTACAGCTCCCGAGGCGGTTACATTTTGCATTGATTTGCATGTTCCAAATACTATCTCCAGGCCACCAATGGTAAGGAAAGAAAGGGCTGCCTAGACAAAACACGACAACTCATCCGAAGAACAAGTGGGGGGAAACGGGGGACGACGACGCAGTCGTGATCACCGATCCGGAGAGAAACGCGAGACGAGCGTGCGGATGGTCCCAACAAAGAACAGAGAAAACACTTGATGACTCCACAACCGCCCATCAGATCAGTCTTTCGGGACACAGGGCAGCGGAGAGCGGATGGACGGAGGACATCAGGGGGGACACCGCTGCTTCGGGAGATCGTAGCTTCTCCTCGTGAAGGTTTGGTGAATTTTGGAAGAGGCGCCCTTTCGGTCGGGACATCCGACGGCCTTCCCAGCAGCAGCTTCCCGCCTTCTTCCGTGCGTTAACGAAACTGGCACCTCGTGGTGATGTGTTTGCTTGGTTTTGGGTGGTCCCTGAGATTTCCCTCTAGAGTCCAACCAGCCCTTTGCATTATCGAAGAAGAAAAACATCAACGGAACCCAAACAGGCGCGGTTACGTCGTTCACCAGTCCCAATCCCCGAGGAAAGTTAAGGAGGCAAATCCGAAAGTCTCGTGCAAGTGAAAACAAGATTCTCTCCGCCATCACCATCCCTCCTCCTCCTCCTTTGCTCAACTTCTTCCCTCCTGACTCAGTGCTTCAAACGTAAAAACGGGCAGCGCTCGCTCACCGAAAGGGGGGTAAACCGAGCTTTGCCGGCCCCCCTTCGCTGAGGCTGCCTCCTCTTTTTTCTTCCTTTTTCCTTCTTCCTCCGGGGAGGGGGGGATTCCAAGTTTCAACGTGCAAAATAAACATTGTTTTGTTTTTTTAATTCAGAACATAAATACAGAGAACCTCTACAAAAATAACAGGAGACGAAAGGGAACACGAACAAACCAACTCTGTGGCAACGCAAATCTATAAAAAATAAGATGGGCAGGCGTTGTGCTCGCCTTCCAAATAAATACAAAATAAATACGTTTCTAAGCAGTAAAAACAAGAAATGAAATGAGAGAGGCTGGCCTCCAAAAAAAAGTCAGATTTCTTTCCCCCCCATCCACCCACCCCCGCCTTCCCCAGAAGGGGCTAAGAACCCCTTGGGAAAGTCATAAATATGGCTGCTACAATTCCCCCCCCCCCTTTTTTTCCCTTGGGATAAAAACCTCGCAGAGAAAGGAAAGAAAAAAGGCAGCTCAACCTTTTTCCAAATCCCCACAAAAACTTGTCGCTCCATTATCAAGCGAACCCCCCCTTTTTTTGCTCCCTGTAGCAAAAAGCTACTTGTAACACCCACCCACCCAAAAATACAAGGCTGTAACCCACTCTCCTACACCCTAAACCAAAGTGTTGGCATCCGTCTCCGGAGGAACTAAAAGAAAAGACAGAAGAAGCCACGTGGTTCAAGAGTTTCCAAAAAACGATGCTCCTTGTGAGCCAAAAAAAAAAGGGGGGGGGTTTATACAACAGGAAGCAGAGATTTTGTATCCCCCCCCAAATAATCAGCAGCGAAGACACACCTTGAAAGGGGACCTTTCAAAATTTAAGTGCATCTCAATTTTTCCAGGCTGGCAAACAAAAAAATTACCGAACTCTCTGCTCTGCCTGGCCAGTTTTTGTGGGGAAGAAGAGAAATAGGAGAGGATAAAAGTAACATTCTTCGTCCCACAAACCTGGTTTTTCTTTTTTGTTTTGTTTTAAATTTAAAAAAAAAAATTACATTGCAGTGTCAAGGATTGTAACGTAAATCGCTCTCTCGCCCAGCAGATTGTTATGTAAACAGCAAAGATATTTTGGGGTAGGTGGATGGGTGGGGGGGTGGGATATTTTTTTGGCTCTTAGTCATTTCTAGCTAAGGCAGGTCTTATTTTTGGGAATCGAAGCCGTGGTACGCAGACGTGGACGGCCCCAACAAGAGAAACCCAAGAGGGGATGATGGATCCATCGTCCCGCTCCGAAGCGGCTTGGGAAAAAGTGAGGTGTGGTTGTCCCAAGTCTTCTGCTTCCTTAGAAGCCCACCAAGAAACTTGGGATGGTCTCCTGGCCAAAGGGTAAAGAGAGGGGGGGAGTGTTTCCTGGTTTGGTCCTTCACCCCCTTCGTGCTTCTGACAGCAACACAAAGATAAAAGCCCCCACCCCACCCCTGTTCCCCTCCCTTCCCCCAGTTCCCCCCCCCCCTTTCTGGGTCTGGGAGTATCACAGCTTGGTTCACACAACTTATTAGTGTCTTCAACCCATTCACAGAATGAAACGGCCATTTCAACCCAAGAGCTGTCGCTCCAAGGTTTGGTTAAAGGAGTCAAAAGAGGCCACTTGGTGGTCATCGCGACTGCACCCCCAGAGTCATCTTCAAGTTCTCGTAGACCACGTAGCTGATGCTGACGGCGGGGATCACCTTCATGAAATTGGGGGCCAGGCCCCTGTAGAGCCCAAAGGCGCCTTCGGTCTTCAGAATGTGTTTGAAGAGGCCCCTCATGGTGACTTCCGGGGCTCCTTCGATCGAAGCTGAAAGAGAAGACAGGAGACGGGCGATGAAGGGACGGATGAGGGTCAACGGGTCCCAGAAAAAAGCCCTCCTTGGTGGTTGTAACCAGGGGTGGGCTTCAAAAAATTTAGCAAGGGGTTCTCTGCCTGGTTGCTGGGTGGGCGTGGCCTAGTCAGCCTCCTGCACCACGGGGGGGAGGGGGGCATTTTTGCCCTCCCCAGGCTTCGGAGGCTATCCTCAAGCCTCAGGGAGGGCAAAAATGGCCTCCCCAGGCTCCGGAGGCTGGAAATAGGCCCGTTTCCGGCCTTCCCGAACTTCTGGTAGGCCTGTTTTTTGCCCTCCCCGAGCCTCCGCGCGCGCCCTGCATTTGCCTGCATCCAAAACAGACCGCGAGGGGCGGGATGGGCGGGGCCAGCCAGGAGTGTGATTTGGGGGTTCTCCGAACTGCACAGAATCTTAGCTAGAGGTTCTCCCGAATTCCTGTGAACCGCCAGCAGCCCATCCCTGGTTGTAACTTTCTCCAAGAGATCCTGGGGGTGTTATCTTACCTTGAGCCTGCATTCGGGTCCGTACCAAAGCAAGGGGGTAGCTGGCCAATTGCCCACAAGTGCTTGACATGGTACCACAAGCCAACAGGACGAAGACTCCAGGGTCGGCACTGTTCACGGCGTAACGCTGCAACCAGCTGTTTTTCAACGTCTAGAAGGAAACCATCAACAGACAAGCGTCAACGGAGAGACAACTCGGTTCAAGAGCCTTAAGCAAATCCATTTGGCACGGAGCTGCTAAGATTCAGAGAGAAAGCTGGATGTTGTGGCCCGCCAGCGGAGCTGGTGGCAGACTCAGACAGTGAGGAGGTTGGAGAGGAACATGGGCCAATCCTGGAGTCTGGGGAAGGCTCTGCATCGGAGGCAGAGATGGGGCCAGGGCTGTCTGACAGTTGTCAGCTGCCTTCGGAGTCAGACATCAGTGGGGCAGAAGAAGAGCTGGAGCCTGTTCCCAGTGTGCGCATGCGCAGAGCTATCAGGAGAAGGGAACAGCTAAGGAACAAGGGTCGACTCAGGAGTAAAACAACAGGTGGAATGGTGAATGGCCCCTCCCATAGGGAATAAAAGAGGAGCAAAAGGGGAGTGGAGTTTTCAGGAGACAACTAGTTCACTTAATTGGTTTGTGACCCTCCAAGTCTGCTTGCCAAGTTTTGAAGGTATCGGCCTGGCAGCTCTCCAAGCCAGATAAGGTCTGACTGTAAATTCACCTTTGAAAGACTTTGCTGGATGTGAATGAGAGGAATTCACAGTAACTTAATAAAAAGGGTTTTTTTTGTTGTGACAAGGAGTCTGCTTCATGCTTTTGGGAAGCCTGGGTCAGAACACTGGAGCTGAAGACCGCTAGACCTTCTGCTTGGGGGTTTTGAGGGCCACCAACCACAAGAACCTCCCTTTCTCGCCAGAGAGAGGTGCCACATCTCTTACCTCGTAAACAGCCAGGTCAATTCCAGCATACGGGATGATCCCCAACATGTTGGGAATGTAGCCCTTGTAGAAAGCACCTAGTCCTTCTTTGGCAAGGATGTTCTTCGCACAATCCAGCATCCCTGTGTACTGCCCGGTTTTACGCAGAGCCATCCGGGTTTTCAGAACCTACGCCAACAAGAGGAACCAGAAGGGTTGTCAGAAATCTAGACAGGAGGGAGTTGAGGAACAACACCTCTGGGTCGGATGCACAGAAGATTTCACCGCCAAGGAAAAGCAACGGAGCGGTAGAGGTGCACCAATGTCTGCGAAGAAGACGGCCCTTGAGAATGTCAAGGGGGAAGGTTGAATCTCCTCAAACCATCTTCCCCAATCTGGGGCCCCCTCCAGTCTTTAAGTCCCGTTATTCTTCACTAGCTCTTGAAGGCTAGTCCATCTAAGGTCAGGGGTCTCCAAACTTGGCAACTTCAAGACTTGTGGACTTCAATTCCCAGAATTCCTCAGCCGGCTGAGGAATTCTGGGAGTTGAAGTCCACAAGTCTGAAAAGTTGCCGAGTGTGGAGACCTCGGACCAAGATGGCAGCGGATCGGGGTCACCTTCTTGAGATCTTCAATCTCCAACCAAGCTTGAAACAGCGCTCAGAAGAGCAAAGAATAGAAGGCAACTCACCTCCATGGGGTAAATGCTGCTCTGTGCGATGGCTCCAGCCAACGAGCCGGCCACCAGCCTCTCGTGAATCCTCAAGACCTCTTGGTCTGTGCCGATGAAACGTTTGATCTGCCGAGAAAGGTGTCCCATGCTTAGCCTGGAGAAGTCTACATGAGCCTCAGGGGCGCAGTGGTTAGAGTGCAGTACTACAGGCTACTTCTGCTGACTGCCGGCTGACTGCAATTTGGCAGGCTCAAGGCTGACTCAGCCTTCTGTCCTTCCAAGGTGGGTAAAATGAGGACCCAGATTGTTGGGGGCAAGAGACTGACTCTGTAAACTGCTTAGAGAGGGCTGGAAAGCACTGTGAAGCGATATATAAATCAAAGGGCTATTGCTATCTATCTATCTATCTATCTATCTATCTATCTATCTATCTATCTATTTTTCTATCTATCTATCTATCTATCTATCTATCTATCTATCTATTTTTCTATCTATCTATCTATCTATCTATCTATCTATCTATCTATCTATCTATCTATCTATCTATCTATCTACTGTGGTGGCACAGCGGTTAGAATGCACTATCGCAGGCTAATTTTGCCGACTGCCAGCAGTTCGATCCTGACCAGCTCAAGGTTGACTCAGCCTTCCATCCTTCCGAGGTGGGTCAAATAAGGACCCAGATTGTTAGGGGCAACAGGATGACTCTGTAAGCAGCTTAGAGAGGGCTGTAAAGCACTGTGAAGCGGGATATAAATCTAAGTGCTATTGTTATCTTCCTTCCTTCCTTTCCTTCCTTCCTGTCCGTTAGAATGCAGTATTGCAGGCTAACTCTGCCCACTGCCAGGAGTTCGATTCTCACTGCCTTAAAGTTGACAGCCTTCCATCCTTCCGAGGTGGGTCAAATGAGGACTCAGATTGTTGGGGGCAACAGACTGACTCTGTAAACAGCTTAGAGAGGGCTGTAAAGCACTATGAAGCGGTATATAAGTCTAAGTGCTATTGCTATCAGTTGCTTCCTTCTCCCTCCCTCAACGGCCTCAAAAATGGAAACGCATGAATCACCCTTGATTCTTGGGGGTCCTTGACCCTTTACCTGTTCATAAGCCATGAATTTGATAGCTGATTCTGGGGCGATCTTCAAGACGTTGATGCCATTGCCACGCCAAAGGGACCTGGTGCCACCTTCTCGAATCATCTGGGAAAACCCTCCGACGATGCACATGTTGTTGCTGCGAGAAGCGTGGACCTGAGAAAGAGACAATTTTGGGTTTGGACGGAGACCCGTTGACATGTTTCCGTCCGTTTCTCACCGACATGCCAAGCTACGGGTTCAATTTGTCTTAACTGGCCCAAGGAGCTAAGGTCCTGGAGTCTGGGGAAGGCTCTGTGTCGGAGGCAGAGAATGGGCCAAGGCCGTCTTGACAGTTGTCAGCTGCCTTCATCAGTGAGGGAGAAGAGCTGGAGCCTGTTCCCAGTGTGCACATGCACAGAGCTGCCAGGAGAAGGGAACAGCTAAGGAACAAGGGTTGACTCAGGAGTAAAGCCACAGGTGGACGATGAATGGCCCCTCCCAGAGGGAATAAAAGAGGAGCGAAAGGGGAGTGGAGTTTGCAGGAGACAATTAGTTCATTCCTGCATTCTTGCCAAGTATTGCGGCGTCTGAAAGATATCGGCCTGGCCACTCTCCAAGCGTGATCAAGGTCTGTAGTTGTGAAATCTCTTGAAAGTCTGTTGGCCGGGACTTTGCTAGAGAGGAATTCACTTTAAACTAAATAAAAAAGGGTTTTATCGGGACGAGGGGTCGGCTTCGTGCTTTTGGGAAGCCTAGGTCAGAACAAAAGGTAGAAGAGCTTTGGGCAAAACAAGAAGTCCAAGGAAAACATGGACTTTGGCACAGCAGCTAAATCCACACCGAATTTGATTTTTTTTAAAAAAATGTGTGGATGGACAGCTTGGCCACTTCTGCGCAAAGTCCAAATTCCTTGTTTTGATACGCAGCAACAACTCTGCTGTCCTTTGATCGCCAACAGGAAAGAGAGTGCCACCAAGTCGCGAATCCTCTCGCGTCTCGCCAAGAGCTGTCCTGCCAAGGCCGGACCCATAATGACCGAAGGGTCATTCATCAACGCGGGTGACATGGGTCTAAGCTTGCCAACTCTACAGGGACGCGTGGTACTTTTGGAAGCGAAACATGACAAGAGTGACGTAAGGGCTATTTTTTTTTTCTGCAGCAGGCAAATGTCCAAGAACTTCTGGAAGGTGTCACAAGTTTGAACTTTCGTATTGGTTTCCTCTACTTCTGAAGCCGGGGGTGGCTTCCAGATTTTGGCCATTTGACAGGCTGGCATTGGGACCTCAAGTGTCTGATCTACTCCCAACGGGATTGTGTGAAAAAGGTAGGCCGAAGCTCCCACGCTTTGGTGGTCCTTTCCTACCTGCATGAGAACCTTCAGACGGTCCAGGGGGGCCGTACAGGTCCTGGATACAGCGCCGGCGCCTCCTCCTGCCACCAGGTGGCGCCACCACATCCCCGTCTGCCTCTCTTCTATGGTGAATTCATCCGGGACAGTGAGATTCTCCCCCACATCGAAAATCTGAAAGACAACCCAGCCAAGACTCATCAGTCTCTGCCACCATCGGGGACTCTCTGAAGATGCTAAAGAGGTCCCTGCCCAACACGGCCAACGTTTCAGTCGGGAAATGAGCACCAGTTTCCTGCTTAAAAAGCTGTTAGCCTCGCAGGCACAATTTACAGGTATTCCTCGACTTATGACGATTCATTTAGTGGCCATTCAAAGTTACAACTGCATTGAAAAACATGACCCATGAATGTTTTTCACGCTTACAACCATGGCAGCATAGGATCAAAATTCAGATACTTGGAGACCGTCTCATATTTATGACGGTTGCAGCCTCCCGGGGTCATCTGATCCCCTTTTGCGACCGTCTTACAAACATAAAGTCAATGGGGGAAGCCAGATTCACTTAACAACCGTGGGACTCACTTAACCGCAGTAATTCGCTTAACCGCTGTGGTAAGAAAGTCATAAAAGGGGGCAAAATTCACCTAACAGATGTCTCACTCGGCAACAAAAATTTGGGGCTGACCTGTGGTCGTAAGTCGAGGAATACCTGCACTGTTAGGTCGTCTGAATGCGGACAAATTCTGGTACGCGATATGTGAAATTAGGCAAACTTTAACTGCCGACTCTTAATCCACCACCAATCGCAATACGTTATTCTGTCTGCCTTTATTTTTAATTTTTACTATTATTACTATTACTATTATCATCATCATCATCATCATCCTTCACATAGTCAGACTGGGTTTAGCATTTTTGTCTACCTATCGAGTCCTTACCAAGGACCTCGGAAAGGCAAATCTGGATGTTTGACGGTGTTACAGAGATCGTCGCAGGATGGAAGCAGTTCCAAGTAAAGCTGCCTTCGGCAATTGACTGATGGCGAATTTGTCAATGCCAATGATAGTGTTCAAGTGATGCTCCAGTTGTTTGGGGACTGAATCCAAGGCGCCTATGACTATTGGTATTACCCTTGCTCGCCTTTGCATGAGTCATTCTATTTCTATTTGTAGGTCTTTCTTTTTTGTTATCTTCTCCAGGTCTTCCTCATCTATTCTGCTGTCTCCAGGCACTGCCACATCCATTATTATTAGCTTTTATTCATTAAACATGAAACTCAAGTCAACTGAACATTTAAAAAATGTATCATAAATACCACTGACTTGTACTAATGGTTGATACAGGCTGCTGCCAGCCAACTACGATGTTCCGTAGTTTTTTGCAGTTCCACTGGTGTTATTGCAGGAAGCTGCAATTTCTTGATGTGTTTTGTAAAATTCTTGGACATGGTACCAAGTGCCCCGATGACAACAATATTATGATGATGATGATGATTTCTAATGCTTTTATTTGCCGGTCTGTGAGCGCAATAAAAAATTGGTTCTGGTTCTACTTGTGTATGAGATCTTCCTGTCTTACCGTTGAGTGTTTCCAGTACAGGATAATTTCTGGAATATTCTCCACCGGGTGCAAAAGGTGATAATCCCTCCACTCGTTCCAATCGATCGTCATCGTCCCGTTTCTATCCATGCTGCGGGAATCGGCCGGAAGAGAAAAGGGAAGAGGAAATTAAACCTGGTGTTAATTAAAAACAAAACAAAAGTGAACAGCTTCGTTTAATTAAGACATTCTTGACAGGAGGTTCTGGCAAGGAGGGAGAATAACTGATCTGGTTACATCCAGGTACTGTATTTTTCGGAGTATAAGACGCACCTTAGTTTTTGGGGAGGAATGTAAGAAAAAAAAACTGATTGGCAGGTGGACCGGCCTCCCGGAATACTCCCAATCAGCTCTGTGCCTTGCTTTTTTTTCTGCCTTTGAAGCTTCTGAAACTCTGTTTCAGAAAAAAAACTTTTTTTCCTGCCTCTGAAAGCCTCTGAAAGCCTCCGAAACAGCTTCAGAAAAAAGGGCTTTTTTTCTGAAGCTCTGTTTGGAGGCTTTTTTTCTGAAGCTTCGTTTTTGAGGCTTTTATTCTGAAGGACTATCTGTACTCTGTTCAATCTCCTTTCTTTGGTATTGGTATGTAGATTAACCTCTTCCGATCTGTTGGTTATTGTGTCATTCTCCAGATTTGTTAGCATAGTTTGGTTAGAACCTTTACTGATTCTTCTTTTGTTGCTTGCCATATTATTTTAGATAAAAGCTTTTTTTTCTGAAGCTTCTTTCAGAGGCAGGGCTACAATCAGAGTATAAGACGCACCCAGATTTTCACCCTCTTTTTTGGGGGGAAAAGGTGCGTCTTATACTCCGAAAAATACGGTAGTTATTCTAGATTCCAGATTTGCATCCCACCCCCCGGAAGGGTTAGTTTATGATTTTATGACTTAAAATGATTCATTGCATAAAATACGGTAGTTTTTGTTTTGCTCAAAGCTCTTTCCGCTGAAAAATGAAAGAGCTTTTTGCCAGATGGATTTGATGCTGTTTGGGAAAGCAACCGCTAAACGCTGTCCCTGCCCCTTCATTGCCAGACCTGCAAGAAACATGCAACCCGCTTCAAACTTCACCAAGGGGGGGGAGGAGGGGATGTTAGGAGATACACAAGGACAAGGGGCCGGGCAGAAATAGACCTCATGGTACTTACTAAGTGACAGGACCCCAGGCGTGCCCTGTCCTTATTCTGACAGACAGACAGGCAGTCAGGCAAGCAAAGGGGAGAAGGCAAAGAGAGACGAGTAAGTGATGGTTAAAAATCGGGTGCCGCCAGCTCGCAAAAAGTATTTTGAGATCCTTATGCACATAGAGAGGAAAAACATACGTGAAGACAGAGTGCTGCCAACAGATAGATAGATAATAGACAGATAGATGATAGATACGATAGATAAATGATAGATAGATACTGTGTTTCCCTGAAAATAAGACCCTCTTATTTTTTTTGAACCCTGAAATAAGCATTTGGCCTTATTGCCATGCACTCAAAAGCCCAATTGGGCTTATTATCAGGGGATGTCTTATTTGGGGGGAAACAGGGTGGGTAGGTAGGTAGGTAGGTAGGTAGGTAGATGATAGATAGATAGATAGATAGATAGATAGATAGATAGATAGATAGATAGATACCGTGTTTCCCTGAAAATAAGACCCTGTTTTATATTTTTTTTGAATACTGAAATAAGCGCTTGGCCTTATTGCCATGCACTCAAAAGCCCGATTGGGCTTATTATCAGGGGATGTCTTATTTTGGGGGAAACAGGGTAGGTAGGTAGATAGACAGAAAGACAGACAGACAGATAGATAATGAGAGATAGATAAGATTGATTGATTGATTGATGATAATGATAGATTGATAGATGATAATGATAGATAGATAGATAGATAGATAGATAGATAGATAGATAGATAGATTAGATAGATAGATAGATAGATAGATAGATAGGATGAGATAGATAGATAGATAGAGGTAGTTAGCTAGTTAGTTAATTAATGAGAGAGAGAGAGAGAGAGAGAGAGACAGAGACAGAGACAGAGACAGAGACAGATATGTGGGCAGCTTGTTCCTTGACTCGCTACTACGACAGAAGGATTAAGAGGGGAAAATCAATGGCAAAGTGAAGTGTTTGTGCAGGAGACCTCTTTTGAGATGGGGGGGGGCAATTACCTCTTGAGGATCTTCTCCGCCTGCTGTTCAGAGATCTTGACACCCAGATCGCGGAGGGACTGCATGATCTCCTGAGCATCGATACGACCTGCGACATCCAGACGAGAGAGAGAGAAAGAGAGAGAGCAGTGAACCTCAAAGCTACTGGTATTATAAGGTACTATAAGTACCCTGTTATTAAGACCAGCTGCCTGCAATTACTGCAGGTTCGAATCTCGCCAGGCTCAAGGTTGACTCAGCCTTCCATCCTTTCTAAGGTAGGTAAATTGAGGACCTAGTTGTGGGGGGCAATAAGCTGACTTTGTATAAATATACAAAAGGATGAAGGCTATTGCTTAGCGCATTGTAAGCCGCCCTGAGTCTCCGGAGAAGGGCGGCATATAAATCAAATTAAAAAAAAAAAGCTCGCGACGCAGAAGGGGCCAGCCGAAAACCAACCAGCCAAGTCTGCTCACCGTCATTCTTTTTGTCCAAGCTCTTGAAGACTAGCCTCAGTTTCTTCTCGTGGTCCTGGAGGTAGTGAACGAATTCTTCGAAGTCCAGCTGGCCATCCAGATCCTTATCTCCAGCTTTTACGATTTTCTGCAGAGGGGGGGAGAGAAACAAAAGATGTCAAAAAAAATAAATAAAACTCGGTTGGCGTAATAACTGCTATTGTTCAGGGTCAGGGAAGCATAGAGTCCCTTTCCAACAGCTCTGGTTCCTATTTATTAAAAAAAGGCAACAAAAGTGACAAACGCAACTAAACAAACATGACTTTCTTCCCAAGGAATGGGAAAAAGAGGCGAAGGATCACATGCCCGAATTTGGATATTCCAAATTTCTCCAACGTTTTAAAATGAGGATTTCGGAGAGTAGAGAGTTGATTCCTTAATCCTGGAGAAGAAAGGTTTTTTTTTTTTAAAATTATCCTAAAAGATTGAGAATCTTCTCCCAAATTCCGCTTTTTAAAGAGGTTTTTCATTGGAAAAAAATTCAAACATCTTTCATAATATGGCCAGGATGTTTAATGAATTCCAGGCTGGGTTTGGGAAAGGAACAGCACAGAATTCGCTCCAGAAGCGTTTCTAAAGTTTCATATTTTTATTTTTATTTTTTTTTAAAGTAGAATTTGGGATGCCGGATGCCACAAACAGCCTCAAGAGGAAAGGTAAAAAAGCCAGTTGTCCCCAACGACAGGTGATCCTCGACTTACAACCGTTCGTTTAGTGGCCACTCAAAGTTACAACGGCACTGGAAAAAAGGGACTTGCGACCGTTTTTCACACTTGCGACCGCGGCAGCATCCCCACGGATGCTGATCACGTGACCAAAATTCGGATGCGGGGCAACTGGTTCACATTTATGACGGTCGCAGTGTCCAGAGTGATCCCGTTTTACGACCTTCCAACAAGCCAAGTCAAGGGAGAAAGCCAGGTTCGCTTAACAACGATGTGCCTAATTTGACACCTGCGGCAATTCGCTTAACAAATGGAAGGCAAGGAAAGTCGTCGAACGGGGCGAAAATCTGTTAACAAAGGTCTCGCTTAGCAACCTAAATTCCGGACACAATCGCGGTCGTAAGACGAGGACTGCCTGTAACAAAAACCACATGTTCAGCCACGTTTGCACACCCAGACATCCAAAGTGACTTAAATATAAATATAATAACAGAGTTGGAAGGGACCTTGGAGGTCTTCTAGTCCAACCCCCTGCTTAGGCAGGAAACCCTACACCACTTCAGACAAATGGTTATCCAACCTCTTCTTAAAAACCTCCAGTGTTGGAGCATTCACAACTTCTGGTGGCCAGTTGTTCCACTGATTGATTGTTCTCACTGTCAGGAAATTTCTCCTTAGTTCTAAGTTGCTTCTCTCCTTAATGAGTTTCCACCCATTGCTTCTTGTCCTGCCCTCAGGTGCTTTGGAGAATAGCTTGACCCCCTCTTCTTTGTGGCAACCCCTGAGATATTGCAACCCTGCTATCATGTCACAAGAAGAGGGACTGGAATTTCGAACTCGAATATGCAGGAAAATTATATTCCTCTTCTGGATCTGAAACTAAATGCTGAAAAGTGCTGGTTTCTATGGCTGGTCCATAAAAGTTCTGTAAAGCACCAAGGTCAACCCAACTCTCTCACACTGGCTTTTTAGCCCTCCGCTGGAAAAGAAATATTTAATAAGGAGAACCGACAGGAAAACTAGCTATTTCTGGGGGAATCTAACTGCCACTAGAAAACCTGCTGGGTAAGCTAAGAAACAACATTAATAAGCGATCGTTAAAGGTTCTAAAACAAGCCCAGACTGGTTTAGACGCCCTGCAGATATATTCTTGTGCAAGAACCTGGGGGAAACTAGAATTCAGGAGCAAAGTGTATCTTTGCAAAAGAGATTAAGAGATGGCAAGGTCACGTTGTTTCATAAATTACACTTCGTCCGGAACATTCCTACCACCAGGAACAAATCATTCCCGCCAAGTCACCAAGACGGGGCAGGAGGGCGAGAAGACGATAATAGAATAACCGAGTTGGAAGGGAGCTTGGAGGTCTTCTAGTCCAACCCCTTGCTCAGGCAGGAAGCCCTATATTATTTTAGACAAATAAATGGCTAATCTCTTCTTGAAAACCTCAAATGATGGCGCATCCCCAACTTCTAGTTCCACTGGTTAATTGTTCTCACTGTCAGGAAATTTCTCCTTAGTTCTAGGTTGCTTCTCTCCTTGGTTAGTTTCCACCCGTTGCTTCTTGTCCTGCCCTCAGGGGCTTTGGAGAATAGCTTGACTCCCTCTTCTTTGGGGCAGCCCCTGAGATATTGGAAGGCTGCTATCATGTCTCCCTTAGTCCTTCTTTTCCTTAAACTAGACATACCCAGTTCCTGCAACCGTTCTTCATCTGTTTTAGCCTCCAGTCCAGTAGTGGGTTTCAATTTTTTTTACTACCAGTTCTGTGGGCATGGCTTTTATGAGTGTTGGCATGGCTTGGTGGGTGTGGCTTGGTGGGTGTGGCTTGGTGGGCGTGGCAGGGGAAGGATACTGTAAGATCTCCATTCGGTCCCCAATCCAGGGGAAGGTTACTGCAAAATCCCCATTTCCTCCCGATCAGCCGGGACTCGGGAGGCAGAGAAGAGATGGGGGTGGGACCCGTCAGAATTTTTACTACCGGTTCTCTGAACTACTGAAAATTTCCACTACCGGTTCTCCAGAACTGGTCAGAACCTGCTGAAAAACCCACCTCTGCTCCAGTCCCCTAATCATCTTTGTTCTCTGCACTCTTTCTAGAGTCTCCACATCTTTTTTACATCGTGGCCACCAAAACTGGATGCAGTACTCCAAGTGTGGCCTTACCAAAAAGCATTATAGAGTGGTACTAACACTTTTTTTTAAAATTATTATTATTATTATTTGATTTATATGCCGCCCTTCTCCGGAGACTCAGGGCGGCTTACAATGCGTTAAGCAATCGCCTTCATACTTTTGTATATTTATACAAAGTCAGCTTATTGCCCCCACAATCCGGGTCCTCAATTTACCTACCTTAGAAAGGATGGAAGGCTGAGACAACCTTGAGCCTTGGCGAGATTCGAACCTGCAGTAATTGCAGACAGCTGGTCTTAATAACAGGGTGCTTTAGACCACTGTACTACCAAGGCTCACTTCCCGTGTTCTTGATTCTTTTTTTTTTTAAATTTGATTTTTATTATAACATATAGTGGTGATACATTCGGTACATTTTCGGTTCATTGGTGCAATTATATACATATATACATCTACATGCATTATTACTTGTCTTTTATTTGATATTGTTTCTTAAAGCTAGATTTAATTTCAAAACACTTAAAGATAATAGTGCTCAAATCTCTAAGACTAAATATAATACTATTCATATGGATTTTGTTAATTAATTAATATTTCTGACTGTCAGGAAATTTCTCCTTAGTTCTAGGTTGCTTCTCTCCTTGATGAGTTTCCACCCATTGCTTCTTGTCCTGCGTTCAGGTGCTTTGGAGAATAGCTTGACTCCCTCTTCTTTGGGGCAGCCCCTGAGATATCGGAAGACTGCTGTCCTGTCTCCCCTGGTCCTTCTTTTCATCAAACTAGACACTTCCCGTGTTCTTGATTCTATCCCTCTGTTAATGCAGCCAATCTTGGCTTGGCCAACACAGTTGCACCACCTGCTTTGCATAGTCATCGGGAACTAGGTTTAGAGACAGGCTTGGTTTTCAATACCATCCAGGAAGGAAAAGATTTCTTCCTGCGCGGAAAACTCGTGACTTGGAAGGCCTTAGGAATCACCCATCGTACTCAAGCTTTGTCCAACCGTCGCTGACTAAATAAACTGCAACCAGACTGGTAGGCTGAAGCCGAAAACCAAACAAATGATGCGATTGTTACTTCCACGGGTAGCCATGGTGTAAATCTTTTTTTTTTTTGCTGCAATGAAATAACACGGCTCCACCTTTGGAAGGAACAGCCCTACAGTGTCTCATCTAGGCTAGTTACTCATCCCCACATGGCGCGATGATCTCAGTCATCCATCTTTCTCTTTTTTTTTTTATTGAAAAAGTTTTTCAAATACAAATTCCCCCCCTTTTTTTCCCCCTCCTCCCTAACCCCCCCTCATCCTCCCCTCCCCCTGTGGCTTCTCCAAAATAAAACCCAAGTTAATAACAGATTATATAATACTTTACCATCCTTTTACTCCACCCCCCATATACTGACCCTTTCTTTCTAACAATATTATTATATCCCCCTTATTCTATACATTTCAAAGCAACATTCAACTGTAAAATTATATAATAAATCCTAATTTAGCAATTTCATCTATTCAGCTCATAATCTATCCATTTCCTCCTCCCCCATGCATATATCTCTTAATTCAAATCTTTTGTGTATATTAATATAGCATAACATCCCTTTTCCAAAACTAAACAATCAGTAAGCTAACCTATCTCCACCCTTCTGACAATATTATTATATCCCCCTTATACGATACATTTCAAAACAACATTCAGCTGTAAAATTATATAATAAATCCTAATTTAGCAATTTCAACTCATAATCTATCCATTTCCTCCTCCCCCATACGTATATCTCTTATTGAATCATCCATCTTTCTCATTAAGCACCTAGGATATCATCACTGAACACTAAAGCAGCTGCCTACAAAATTAAGGATGCAAAGGCGATGCTTGCTGATGTTTGCGGTATCGTGTAAACTGCGGGATTTGGGGGATCTGACTGTGAAACAGCACGAAGCCGCAACGGTCCTTCCTTCCTTCCTCATCCTCTTAAAGAAGCCATGGTTTCCTTCTTGGCTTCCAATTTTGGCTTGTTTGGGAGAAGTTAAGTCAAGAATTTGGGTTTGCACAGGACTCTGAATTGGGAGTGCTTGGCTTGTATGGCGTGTCCCTCTAGAGCAGGGGTCGGCAACCTGCGGCTCCGGAGCCGCCATGTGGCTCTTTCATCCCTCTGCTGCGGCTCCATGTCGCCGGTCGGCTCCACCACTGATAGGGCTTTCGGTTAGGACAGGTAGAGGAAAAAAGGATGCCGCTCTAGGAGGAGACTCTATGGTGGGGGAACCGGACTTCGGGTCGGCTCCAGAATTGG